GGAGAGAAACATTGCAGCTCGGGCATTTCAGAAGATGCATGAAGAATTCATTACAGAAAATGACCCTCTGCAATGTCTGGGGAAACTGGAACCTCAGTATCTCTCCACGTTCAAAGCTCTGTACTTAGAGAAGGATGAGTGTCAAGATAGGGCCTGGAATTTCTGTGATCAGTGTCTCAGACCTGCCCTGGTGGACTATGTGAACAAGAGACTTGGGACAGAAATCGTGGATGACATTCTCAGCAGTGAACAGTCTATTGAGTACAGCACCCGGAGCTCTTTCCAATTCTTTGTTCTGAAGCAGCTGTTGGAAGAAAATGACTTTAACAATTATGTGCAATACACAAGGAATTATGTAGATTTTATCAAAACCTGGATACGGAAACACGTGTTAACACGTTACAGAGAGAAGGCAAGTTTGGGAGATTTGGAGAAAAGGATTTTCTCCCCAATAATTAATAAACTCAGTGATGTTCTGAAAAACTCCACAGGTGAGATGACTGAGACAGTCTCTGCCTTTTTAGACAACTTTCTTGAAGAGCTGCAGCAGGATCTAGTCATTCCCAGGGACAGCTTAGAAGTGATACTGTTTAAAAACACAGCACGTGCAGACCAATTTTCAGCTTTTATAGAACAGTTTATTCCTGATCTGGAAAAACAAGTTTTATCCACTTTTGAAAATCTGGAAATTGAGACAAAACTCTCCAAACTTGCAGTGAAGCCCCAGGATGAATTCTTCCAGCGAGTGTTTGGCTGTGGGAAGCAGTGTCCATTCTGTAAAGTCCCCTGTGACGCAGGAGCCCCTGCACACAAGGAGCATTTTGCATCAGTGCATCGACCTAAAGGATTAGGGACATATAGGTTTACAGAAACAGGGATACTTTGCTATGAGATATGCTCTTCTGCAGTGCTTTCCAATGGCACATTTGCATGTCCAGAGACAAAATGGGAGTATCAGCCTTTTAAAAATTATCGGAAATATTTTCCAGACTGGCTCATCCAGCCAGATCCCAGCATCACAGCTTCCGATTACTGGAAGTTTGTTTTCAATAAGTTCAATCACCAGTTTGCTGAGGAGTTTCACGCTCAGCCTGCCGATCTCCCTGAGGACTGGGGTAAAATAACCAAAGTACAGGCACTGGAAAGCCTAAAGGAAACCTTTACATTGAAGCCAAAAACATGCTGAGAAACTCTGTTGTGAGCAGAGAATTACAGAAGTTAATTTTCTTTTAATGTAGTATGTGAAAAAATCCTGTATCTTCTAAATATGTTTTGTTTCTCTGAGAATATCAGACAGTTTTCAGCTTCCAAACAGATAAAAAAAAGTGTTTTTTTTTTCACATTTCACATCACATAACTATTTATGGCACAATTAAAGATAAGGGAAAGACCCAAACATGGAGTTTCTGCATCTTTGTCTTACGGAGCAAATGACCAAAATCCCAAATCTGTCTTCACCACTGCATTTTGGTGGTACAATGGTACCATGCAGTGACCTGCAAACCTCTCCCAGATGAGTGTTCCCTTTAAAGAGCCCCTCGAATACCAGCCATCCACTTCTGTTACTTAAAGTATCAGTAAGCTGCACTTTTGTGTCTAATCTGACACCAAACAGCCTAGCCCTGATGCTCATCTTCCATGGGTAAACACAGGAGGGTGAAAGTACTTCAGAAACACCAAGGAGAGAAGTTTGCAGTGTAACATAGGGAAGGGAGGGATGCAGGCAGCAAACCCAACAGACCCTGAGAATCCAAAGGGAATCCCCACAAGC